TCTGCTGTCTTTGTCCTAGGTGATAGCGAGCACAGGTTCAGAATATACTGTCAAAGGAGCCTTGGTGAGTTGCTGTAGTGCATCTTGTAGATGGTATACACTGCTGCCACTATGCACTGATGATGGAGGAAGTCAATGTTGAAGGTGGTGAATGGAATGCCAATCAGTTGAGCTGCTTTGCCCTGAGTGCTGTTAGAGCGACCCACATCCAGACAGGAGGGTATTCCATTACACTCTTGATTTGTCATTTTAGACAGTAGACAGGATTTGGGGAGTTAAGGATGACTCACTCGCAAAGAATTCCTAGCCTCTGATAAATGTTCTTGGGCCATAGTATTGGGGCTCATCCAGGTCAATTTCTGGTCACTGATCCACCATCAACATTTTGGTAGGTTATGATTCAGCAATGGTAATGCCATTGAATGTCAGGAGGGCTGTAGTTACATTCTCTCCTGTTGAAATGTTCATTGACTAGCACTTCTGGAGCACTAATGTCACTCATCACTTATCAGCCCAAGCTTGGATGTCGTCCAGGTCTTGCTGCATGGTACACAGACTGCTTCAGTATCTGAAGAGTCATGAATAGTGCTGAACATATCTCAATCATCAGTGAACATCCCCATTTCTGACTTGACAATGGAAGGTCACTCATGAAGCAGCTGAAGATAGTTGAGCCTAGGACACTATTCTGAGGAATAGTGATGTCCCAAGGTGAAGTTGATTGACCTCCAACAATCACAAACATTTTTAGTGTTCGATATGACACAAAATAATGAAGAGCTTTCCACCTGATTCCCATTATCCTCAGTCTCGCTAGAACTCCTTGATGCCACACCAATGCCTGTCACCAGCGGTGTTCCACAAGGATCGGTTCTGGGTCCTCTTTTGTTTGTCATTTATATATATTATTTAGATGAGAATATAGAAGGCATGGTTAGAATGTTTGAGGACAACACCAAAATTGGTGGCATTGTAGAGAGTGAAGAAGGTTTTCTAATCTTACAAAGGGATCTTGATCAAATGGGTCCATGGGCTGAAAAATGGTGGATGGAGTTCAATCTGGATAAATTCAAGATATTGTATTTTGGTACAACAAACAAGGGTAGGCCTTATACAATTAATGGTAGGACCTTGAGTAGAGTTGTGGAACAGAGGGACCTAGGGGTTTAGGTATATGATGCTTTGAAGTTTCTGTCATACATAGACAGGTGATTAAGAAGGTGTTTGGCACACTTGCCTTCATTGCTCAGTTCTTTGAGTATAGGAGTTGGGAAGTCATACTAAGGTTGTTCAGGACATTGGTGAGGCATCTTCTGGAATACTGTGTCCACTTTTAGTCGCGCAGTTATAGGAAGGATATTATTAAGCTGGAGAGGGCTCAGAAAAGATTTACCAGGATGTTGCTGGGTATGGAAGGTTTCTGTTATAAAGAAAGGCTGAATAGGCTGGGACTTTTCTCACTGAAGTATAGGAGGTTGAGAGGCAACCTTATTGAAGTTTATAAAATAAGGAAGGGTGCAGATAGAGTTAATGGTAGTTGTCTTTTCCCATGGATGGGGGATTTCAAGACTAGTGGGCACATTTTTAAAAATTGAGAGGAGAGAGATTTTAAAAAAAGACATGAGGGGCAATTTTTTTTTTTACACTGAGGGTGATTCGGGTGTGGAAAGAACTTCCTGAGGAAGTGAGGATGTGGGTACAATTTTACAACAATAAAAAAATGGCGCTTGGATAAGTACATGAATTGGAAAGGTTGAGAAGGATATGGACCAGGAGCAGGCAGATGTGACTAGTTTAGTTTGGGATTACGGTCAGCATGGACTGGTTGGACTGAAGGGTCCATTTCTGAGCTGAATGACTCTATGACCTGGTCAAATGCTGCCTTGATGACAATGGCAGTCACTCTTACCTCAACTCTGGCATTCAGTTCATTCTCCGTGTTTGGACGAGGCTATAATGAGATCAAGACCTAATGTTATCAAATGAAACAAGACTGCAGAGCTTAGACCTTAGACCTTATGTGTTAGCTGTGGAATCATGTAACTGGTTATTGCATGCTGCTTCCACTATTCAACATGCATGTAGTTTCATGTTGTTGCTTAACCATGTCGACAACTCATTTTTAAGTGTGTTGAGTGCTGTTCCTAGATGGTACACCTAGTGTGCATATGCCTAATGCTCCATGAATGCCCAGTTTTGGAGATGCCCTCCGGCAACTCAGTATGAAGACAGGACTTCATCTTTATAATGACTATTCAGCAGTTGCTCCTACGTATACTGTCATGGACAGATGCATCTGTGACAAGTCAATCAATAAAGATGTGGTCAATTTTCCTTCTCTCTGGTTCCTTCACCAAATGCCTCAGCATTAATCTTGGGTAGCACAGTGGCTCAGTAGTTAGTACTGCTAACTCACAGCGCCAGGGACGTGGGTTTGGTTCCAGCCTCAGGCAACTGTCTGTGTGGAATTTGCACATTCTCCCCGTGTCTGCATGGGTTTCTGCCAGGTGCTCTGGTTTCCTCCCACAGTCCAAAGATGTGCAGATTAGGTGGATTGGCCATGCTAAATTGCCTATAGGGTCCAGGGGTGTGTAAGTTAGATGGATTAGCCATGGGGAATGCAGGGTTACAGGGAAAGGGTAGGGGAATGGGTCAGGATGAGATGTCCTTCGGAGGGGTGGTGTGGACTTGTTAGGCCGATTGGCCTGTTCCTATACTGTAGGAATTCAATGTTCTGTAGGAGTAGGCAGCTCAGTCACTGGTATTGCTACTGAGCAACTCTTGGTGATGGACATGGAAGTCTCCCACTTAGAGTACATTCTGTGCCCCTGCCACCATTGCTGTTTCTGCCAATTTCTTTTCAACATGGAGGAATCATATTTTAAGTATTATCAAGATGTTGCTTGACTAACCGGTGAGATCTTTCAATTTTGGCACAAGCCCCCAGATATTTGTAAGATCTTTTGCAGGGTCAACAGAGCTCAATTCGCAGTTTTATATGTGGTGCTTTGGTCAATGCCAGGCTTAGAATCTGCAGCAATTTGACACAACGGAGTGGCTTGCTACACCATATCAGAGGGTATCAAGGAGTGAAAATCATCGCTGAGAGTCTGGAGTCACTGCTTCTTGCTTTAAAAGTGTATTAGTGACCCAGCTTCTTCCTGTAAAGGATATTGGCATACCAAACTATCAACAATGGTTTGACTAGCTTTTAGCTCCAAATTCATTAACTGAATTTAAATCCCTAATGGGATTTGAACCCATGTCCCCGGGGCTTAGCCCAGGCTTCTGGATTATTTGTCCAATGAAATTACAGCCAAGCCACCACCCCTCTTTAAACTGTGTTTTTTTTGATGAGATAAAAAAAATGTTGATGAGAGTAATTGTATTCATGTGCTATGCATGGACCTCCAGAAGACATTTAATGAAATAAACTAAGTTAGAGTTCATGGAATACAAGGGACAAAAGCAACATGAATATGAATTTGCCCTCAGCACTCAGAGAATAGTGATGAAATTTCATTTTTCAGAATAGAGAATGAGTTCTCGTTGAGTTCCTCAGAGGTTGGTGCGGGACTCTTTTCCCTCCTGACACATAGTAATGATGTAGACGATGGTACACAGAGTGCAATTTTAAAACTTAATTCAAAACTTGAAAGCAATGTGAGCAGAATAGTGTGGAACTTAAAAAGTACATAAACAGGTTATTGGAATGGACAGAAAGGTGAAAAATGAACTTTAATGCAGAGAAATAGAAAGCAATTCATTTTGGTACAAGGAACATGAAAAAACAAAGGGAACATGTCTAAAAGATGAGCAAGAGCAGAGGGGCCTGAATGTACATGTGCATAAATCATTGAAAGTGTCAGGATAGATCAAGAGAGCAATTAATAAAGCATGCAGCAGCCCAGGCTTTATTACTATGAAGTAAAGTATAAAAGTACAAAAGTAAGGAAGTTATGTTAAGCTTGTATAGAACATTAATTCAGTCTCAGCTCAAGGAGTGTGTGCAGTTCTGGGCATCACATTCCAGAAAAGGTGTGAAAGCATTCATAAGAGTGCAGAAAAGATTTACAGAAATTGTCCCATGTAAGAGGAACTTCAGTTATTCACTAGATTGAAAAGTAGGAATTGCTATCCTTGAAGAAAGGTTAAGTAAAGATTTGAAGAGTTATTCAAAATCATGAGCTGTCGACAGGGTAAATGGGGAAAAACTGTTCCCATCGGTGGAAGGATTCAGAACAAGCATACATAGATTAATGGTAGATATTAAAGTTATCTCTAGAGAAGACTAGTGGTGGCTTAATCTGAGAATCACTATGCCTCATTGGGAGGGTTGAGGATGAGAAGGTAGGACTTTCCTGGTAACTTGTTGGAATCACTGTATTGAAAACCAGCCACACTACCGACTGAGCTAACCAACCCCCAGATCTATAGTAACGAGCAAAAGAGGCAATGGCCACAGAGTATGGTGGAAGTCGCTTCAATCAAGGCATTCAAGAGGGAATTGGATTTTTATCTGAAAAGGAAGTAAGTGCCAGACTATGAGGAGAAAGGAAGGAAGTTGTAGTAGGTAAATTGAGCTAGCAGAGGCATGACAGGCTGACCTCCTATTCTGCTAGAATAATTCCACGATTTTTGGAAAAAAAGATTTCCTATTTACCAATAAAGAATTACTACTGAATTATCTGAGGCGGTTACAAAGTTGCCGAACAATAAAAGTGGAGGACATAATCACATACCTGGATTTTTAAGGCTGTTAGGTCAGGTTATATAGGACAGACACGGTGAGTAGATCTTAACCAGTGTAGACTTGATGGCAAACAGTGGGTAAGGGACTTGCACAAGGATCAGGGCTGAGCCCACCACTGTTACGACTTGCATTAATGATCTAGAACCAAAAACAGAATTTCTAAACTTGCAGATGACCACTATATTGCAGCGGGGGTAAGTGATCTTAGCTTTGGAATATTAAGAAGAACTGCAACAAATTACAGAAAGACATTAATAAACTTGCAGAATGGGCAAATAATTGACAAAATAAGATCAACATATAGATGTAAATGGTACACCTTAGTAGGTAAAATTGAAATATCATTTATTATTTGGAAGATACAAGTCTAGGTGGGGTAGAAGAACGAAGAGATCTCGTATTGCTAATACAGTTGTCATTAAAAGTTGCACCAGATTATCAAAGTCACAAACAAAGCAAATCATGCACTTTGTTTTACTTATTGAAAGATAGAATTGAAAAGTCAGGAATTATACTAAATCTTGAACTTTGGTTAGACCACCACACAAATAGAGTTTTTCAAGGGGTCTTGCAACTCAGAGGTAGTATCCCTAACTTCAGCCAGAAGCTCCAGGTTCAATCCCATCTCGAGATGCAATGGCCATGTAGGGGTATTATAATTGATCCAAACAGACTGATTTTTAATAAAATGCAATTCTTTTTGCCATAGTTTAGAAAGTACATACAGGCACTGAAAAGAGTGCAGTGAAGACTTACATAGCTCATATCAGAAATGCAAGGAACATGATTATCAGATTAGGGTTAGGGTTAATGTGTGGATTCTGTCTTTCTTATTGAAAAGCGTGGAAATACTAGAGCATAATATAAAAGTCACCAACAAATCCAATACAGAACTCAGAAGCAATTTCTTCTCAAAAGAATGGTGGAATGGTGAGGCACAACGGGGAATAGTTGAAGAGAATAGTGTAGATGCATGTAAGGGGAGCCGACACCAGTATGTCAAGGAAGGAGTAGACAGTCATACTGATAAATTTGAATGAGGAAAAATGAAAGGGGGCTTACATTGAACATAAACACCAGCACAGATTGATTGGGAAGAACTCCCTGTTTATGTGCCTTTTATCTTATAAGAATTCAGTTGCGTAAGCAAATAGGATGTTAGAAACTATAGCTAGAACAATAAATACTAGAATTATAATCCTTTGCTCATACAAACAAAAAGACACAGTGGCAGTGATAATGTCACTGGACCAATAATCCTGATGTACAATCTAATGGTCGGGGGATGAGGGCTGAAATCCCACCATAGTAGCTGGTAAAATTTAAATTCAATTAATAATGTTGAAAGCTATTGTTGATTGTTATTATAAATCTATCTAGCTCATTAATCTTCTTACCAGAAGGCACAAACACCCCCCACCCCAATTTTACGGCCTCCCAAAAGGTACACAGACTGGAAGTACCCCTCAGACACATGGTCTCCCTCCCAGGCAGAACAACACACAAGTTAGCCAAGGAATTACAATGAAGACTAAAGTACCTCGTCAGCAAGTCACCCTACTCAATCCACGCAGCCCAGGAGTTCCTCAAAGACATAAGAATAGACGAGGATGAGAACATGATGTCCTTTGACGTTACCGCCCTATTCATATCAATTGACATACCACTGGCAAAAGAAGCAGTAGCAACACTACTAAAAGAATGAGACCCGAGTGACACCATCTCCACAGACAACACGCTGAAACTACTGCATCCACGCCTCATGACCCACTTTGCATTTAATGGCCAAATTTATGAACAAAGCAACAGGACACCCATCTCCAGATTAATAGAAGTGGTGATGCAGAGACTTGAAAGAATGGCCCTTCTGCAGATCCAACCTAAACTATTGATCTGACACGTTGAAGATAATTTTGTCGTCATCAAATGGACTAAACTAGTGGAGACACACCAACTAATAAACAACACTCTCACCGGCATCAGGGAAGAAGAAAAGGACGAACAGCTCCCATTCCTGGACATCATGGTAGAACGCAGGGACAACAAGAAATTTCTGACAAAGGTACACAGAAAGGCCACACACACAGATCAAGTCCTGACTTTCAACAGCAACCACCCCAACACCTATAAATGAAGTTGCGTGAAAACACTATTTAAACAAGCAACAACACACTGCAGCAACACAGAACTAAGCCAAAACAAAGAAGAACACCTCAACCAAGTATTTAAACACAACGGATACCCAAACAGCTGGTCCGACGATGCCGATCACACAAACAACAACAGAAAGATACAGTACACCCTGACACACTCGTCACGTTACCCTACATCAAGAACATATCCGAACTGACCACAAAACTCCTATGACCATTGGGAATCAGAGTAGCACACAAACCTACATCAACCCTACGCCAACTGCTAACTCGAACCACAGACCCCTTACCCACTATGGACAGAACCAACGTGATATACAAGATTACATGCAAGGACTGCGACAAACATTACATTGGACAGACAGGAAGGAAACTAGCCACAAGAATACATGAACACCAACTAGCAACAAAAAGACACGACCAATACTCACTATTCTCCATTCACATGAATAAGAGGAATCGCCAATTCGATTGGGACAACATCAGGATCCAAGCACAGGCCAAACAGAGACAAGCGCAAGAATTTCTAGAAGCCTGGTTCTCCACCAAGAAGGCCATCAATAAACATGTAGAATTAGATCCTATATATACACCACTGCAAAGAAATACTGGAAATGAGGTAATCAACTCGAACAGACCCCAGAGATTAAATACCAGGTGGGAAAACATAACAGCGCTTCATCAAAGGCTGCGCTGATGATGTTACCCAGCAGGGTAATGAAAGGTCTGTGAACTAACGAACTAGCTCAGCGAGTGAACCAACCACAGGAAATAGTATCTCCTACCAAAACATTTCATCGTCTTAGAAGTCCAAGTTAAGATCATCCCTAAATCTTCTTCACTCAAAGCAATACAAACATAGAACATAGAACATATAGAACATAGAACAGTACATCACAGTTCAGACCCTTCAGCCCATGATGTTGTGCCAACCTGTTATCCTACTGCAAGAACTAAGAACTAACCTGCATACTTTTCATTTTACTATCATCCATCTGCCTATTTAAGAGTCGCTTAAATATCCCTAATGTATCTGACTCTACTACCACTGCTGGCAGTGCATTCCATGCACCCACCACTCTCTGTGTAAAGAACCTACCTCTGACATCTCCCCTATACCTTCCTCCAATCACCTTAACATTATGCCCCCTTGTGATAGTCATTTCTGCCCTGGGAAAAGGTCTCTGGGTATCCACTCTATCTATGCCTCTCATCATCTTGTACACCTCTATCAAGTCACTGCTCATCGTTCTTCGCTCCAATGAGAAAAGCCCTAGCTCCCTCAACCTTTCCTCATAAGACCTGCCCTTCAGTCCAGGCAGCATCCTGGTAAATCTCCTCTGAACCTTCTGTAAAGCTTTCACGTCTTTCATATAATGAGGCGACCAGGACTGAACACAATATTCCAAGTGTGGTCTAACCAGGGTTTTATACAGCTGCAGCATAACCTCGCCGCTCTTAAACTCAATCCCCCTGCCAACGAGAGCCAATACACCATATGCCTTCTTACAACCTATCAACTTGGGTGGCAACTTTGATGAACCTATGGACGTGGACCCCAAGATCCCTCTGTTTCTCCACACTGCCAAGAATCCTGCCATTAACCCTGTATTCTGCATTCAAATTTAACCTTCCAAAATGAAACACTTCACACTTTTCCGGGTTGAATTCCATCTGCCACTTCTTTGCCTAGGTTTGCATCCTGTCGATGTCCCGTTGCAACCTACAACAGCCCTCCACACTATCCACAATTCCACCAACCTTCGTGTCATCAGCAAACTTACTAACCCACCCTACCACTTCCTCATCTAAGTCATTTACAAAGATCACAAAGAGCAGAGGTCCCAGAACAGATCCCTGTGGAACACCACTGGTCACCGAGCTCCAGGCTGAATATTTTCCGTCTACTACCATCCTCTGTCTTCTACTGGACAGCCAATTCTGTATCCAGACAGCCAAATTTCCCTGAAACCCATGCCTCCTTACTTTCTGAATGAGCCTACAATGGGTAACCTTATCAAAAGCCTTGCTAAAATCCATATACACCATTTCCACTACTCTACCTTCATCAATGTGTTTGTCACCTCCTCAAAGAATTCAATAAGGCTTGTGAGGCATGATCTGCCCTTCACAAAGCCATGCTGACTATTTCTAATCAAACTATGATTTTCCAAATAATCATAAATACTATTTCTCAGAATCCTCTCCAATAATTTGTCCACCACAGAAGTAAGACTGGTTATCCCTACTCCCTTTCTTGAACAAGGGAATAATATTTGCCACGCTCCAGTCATCTGGTACTACTCCAGTGGACAGTGAGGACACAAAGATCATCACCAAAGGCGCAGCAATCTCTTCCCTCGCTTCCTGTAGTAACCTTGGGTATATCCCGTCTGGCCCAGGGGACCTATGTATCCTCATGTTTTTCAAAATTTTTAGCACATCCTCCTTCCTAACATCAACCTGTTTGAGTATATCAGCCTGTTTCATGCTGTCCTCACAAACTACAAGGTCCCCCTCACTGGTGAATACTGAAGCAAAGTATTCATTAAGGACCTCCCCTAACTCCTCCAACTCCAACCTTGAACTGCAATCTACCCTCACATTAAACCCTATTGGCCCTAGTACAATTGTGGGGTGTCTGTTCTGCACTACTTCCAGGGTCATATGTTCTTACTGATTTGTGTGCCCAGAACTCAATGCAGTACTCGAGATGTGGTCTAACTAGAATCTTATACAACTGTAACATAACTTTCATCTTTTTGAGATAAAGGCTAACATTTCTTTAGCCTTCGTAACAAACCTTTGCATCTATCCACTAGATTTAAAGTTATTTCTGTACTTGGACATCCAAGTCTATCCAATCATCCACATGTCTTAGCTTCTCACCATTATCAAAATATTCCAATGTATGTGCCTTCAGACAAAACAAAAGGAAGGATATTCTATTATATGTTAAGTCCAAGCTGCATGACTTCAATTGACCCACATTTTGCCTAATCTAGTAATGTCTCATAGCAACTTTTCATCCCATTTCACAGTCTGCTGTGCTGCATAACTTAATGCTGTCAGCAAATTTGGATAGACAGCTACCTATTCCTTCATCCAAGTATTGTTACATAGCCAACACTAATAGTAGGATGCAATTACAATGTAACATATACAGCCCACAACATAAATATTGACATAGAAATTTACAATTAAAAACACCTTACCTAATGAGGCAGAAACAAGATAATCGAAAGCTAGGATTTGCAGATGTGAAGTGCATTCATATTCAAGATTTTTAACATTTCACAAAAATTATAGTGGACTTTAAAGTAGGTCAATAAAGGAGAACCAGGGGATCTTGGATCTGAGTAGAAATTCATTGAAAATTAATTTAGGATTGCTATCAGTTATTTTTGTTTTACTTCAAACTGCAATAACTTACCATAAAAATCAAAACCATTCAGGGCATCCAAAATATAATTAGATATGACTAATATGGAGTTGCTATCATGCTTGAAGTGAGCTTTAACAGAATGATTAGTGGTGTCTAATCTCTGAAAAAATTATGTAACAGTTATCAGAGTGACTGTTTTGTTCAAACTCCATTCTGTTTATTAAGGTGACCAGTGAATATCCAGAGTTGGCTGGTAAACAACTAACTTCATGATAAACAAAGTAAAATTACATTAAGCAAATTACCTTTTACACAGTAGATCCCCATGTTTTTAACTTCCTGTATACTTGGCACTGTTCACTACAATATGCCTCACTCTTCTATAAACCATTTAGGCAGGACTAGAACACATTTGAGATGGAGAATTTATTATGATGTTTTATTTATTTTAATAATGGAAACAAAGAAACAATAAAATATGTTCTATTTTGTTTCTAGTTACGGTAATTTTTTAAAAAATCTAAGACATGCAAATGACAAAAATGATAAATCTAAACCTACCCTGATAATGGTCTGGACCACACAAAAACAAAGTGTATAAAATCTCAAATGCAAGTCAAAATTTACTAATATTAATTTAAAGCTATACATTCTTCCAATTAATTTTTTTCTCTTTTATTTGTAACGTAATACCCATTACAAAAATTTTTTAAAATGAATTAATTAAAAGGATATGTTTTGGTTCCTTCAAGAGCGATGTCTTCAGCCTCATTCTTTAGAAATTGAATTAGACACAACGATTAAATCAACTCCAGTAACAGTGGTCAATTCCACTAACTGCAACGTCTTTGGTGGCTGCCAGATTGACAAGAATGTTATCAGTTGCATATCATTGCTGAATATTAATACATTTTCATTTTCAAATTAATTTTTATCAAGCAGTCAAGAATGACCATTGGAAAGTGAATGCATTTTTTACACAAATTAAAAGTGTACATAGCTACACAAATTGAGTGTACATAGCATTACAATTATGTGACTATTTTCTTAGTATAACCCATTACAGCAAAGATATAAATTTGACATGGAATAATATTGCAGTAATATTGGACAGAAGTGTCAAACTCTAACTAAGCAAGTTGTTCCTGTGCACATCTTGAAATTTCTTCGAAATCTTACAAATCAACGTTTTAATTAGTCTGTATGCTGCAGCGACAAACCTTGGTGCTCTAATTTAGCATTTGTGCAAAAATTAGACAACATGCCAAGATCAGTCATTCCCAAAACCTCATACCCACAAAATTCAAACAGTAAGAAAACGTAAACACAGTGGAACTGAACACCCTCTTTTTGAGATGCATTTCCTTGGTACATGTCCCACAATCCGGACACAGCCAGCCACATGGAAAGTTATCAATGCTGCCAGATTGTACCTATTTGGGAGCACGAACCCCCATTTTGATCGAAACATTGCGAACCATCTTGATGCATTTTACAGTTGTAAGTACAAACAAGTTCCAAATGTTCAACATGGCATTTCGTGCGATCATAAACAAACACTCCCTGACAGTTCTGAACTGTCCACTGGTGTATGGCAGGATTGAACCGAATAGGCCAAATGGGTTCGCTCACACAATACAACACAACATCACTTGGCAACAAAAACCGAAAGAACTGCGGATGCTGTAAATCAGGAACAAAAACAAAGTTGCTGGAAAAGCTCAGCAGGTCTGGCAGCATCTGTGAAGGAAAAAAAGACAGAGTTAACGTTTCGGGTCCGGTGGCCCTGGCTCAGAGGAACGGTCACCGGACCCGAAACGTTAACTCGCTTTTTTTTTCCTTCACGTATGCTGCCAGACCTACTGAGCTTTTCCAGCAACTTTGTTTTTGTATCACTTGGCAACAACTATTTGCCCTAGTATCAGCAGCAGCAATGGGCCAGGATGTCATTTCATCTCAAACCCACAATCTATAAAGTCTGATCCCGACGTAACCCTTTTAGACATAAAACGATCGATTGTTGCACGCATTTTTTTTAAAAAATGGACTATACCAATTGGCAAGCAAAGCCCACCACTTTTACCTCGGCAATCTAAAGGAAGTCCCAGACCTCAGCAATTCGCTCAGAATGCGCTACGACTTCAGTTAGGCTCGAAACACACTACAGTCTCGCGGCGCGTCGCGAGACCGCCGCGCGCCGCTTCTTGGCAACCAACACGGCAACCGCGGCGAAAAAAACAAACAGCTTATACTTTTTAATTTGATAATTACCAGCCTGTCGGTCTTCCTCCAAAATAACCAGCCTTGCCGCGAAATCAAATATTTATTTTGATTTTTTAAAATTTGGCATCAACCCCATTTTTTCAAACCGGCTTACCCACAATGCTTTGTCCCTCAACGAATTTCAGTCAAGTTTAGTTTTCGGCGCCATTTTCGACTGGGTCCGAGGTAAGCGCTTGAATTTTTCTCGAATTTATTCCTTTATTTTTTATTTTCCCCGTGCGAAAGTGGTCCCAAAATATTCCTAATATTTTTTAAAAAAAACAACAATCATTCGGCGCCGGAAAATCGGGATTCGGAGTGATTTCCAAGGTATTGATGTAGTGGAAATGAAATCTTTTTTTAGCGGGATGAGATGCATGACAAATTTGTAAACATGTTGTTTCAGGGAAGTGGTTGCTATCTGCATTTTTTAAAAAAACCCAGTTCCATTTATTGCATTGAATTAAACTTTTGAGAAATATGAACTGTCGTGTTCGTTAAATAGTTACGATTGTTATCTCAGTCAGAATTTTAAGTATTTTTCATTTTGGGACAGTTTTTTTTCCGATTCTTCCCTCCGCCCGCTCCGCCCCCCCCCCCCCAACTGCATTGTAGCTTTTGATTACTTTAGTTGTTGGTGTGTTCTGTAAATTCAAACTACTTCATTTAAGTCATTAAACTAATATTAGACACGATTCATGTCAAATTTTGGTTTTTTTTAAAAGTCTGTTCGTGCGCCTATTTAAGCTTAGTGACGTAGACTGCCTCAAATACACGTCGTTATATACAGCTTTTTTTCATTTGATCAAATTGTTCCATTTTGAGTAAACGATGTGTCCTTTCTAGTGAGTTTTGTCTTTTGTGTAATCTGTAAGGTTAACTTTTTAGATCCAGTTTTTGTAACGTCATGATGTGGCGTTGGATTACAGTAAAGTACAGTAACTTTTACTAATCTGGGTAGGGTTGCGGTAAATTTGGAATTAATGGTTTTTTTTCAGGAGGTACTTTTTTTTTAGCCGAACTTTGATTTTTGTATCAAAGCTTTTCTAAAGATGTGGGCGTTATGGGAATGAAAAGAATTGTATGGCAATGAAGGGATAACTACGTTTGCCTTGAGCCTTTTTTTTGTTATAATAATTGCTAATCTAGGTTAAACCATGCCTGCCAAAACGAAGTCTTCTACAGCAAAGCAAAGCGCAAAACTGGGTCCGGGGGGAGCTGAGCCCCTGGATGAGTTTGACAACGAAATGGATATCCAACAAAAGGCAACCGCATCAAATGTAGATGAAACTACAAGAGGTATTTTTTTTTTGTCCGTGTATGGTTAATTTTATTTGTATTTTAAGATTTGTATTGTTAAAAATGAACGCATTTCATTTCTTGTATCTTTTTAATAAATTGAAGCTGTGATAATCGCTGCCGTTTAGTTCGTTTTGAAATTGGATTTAGCCGCCTAAAGTATGGCTAAACAGGTTGCCGCTTCCATTGCCTATACGCCGAAATTGTTTTTGTAATCGTTTTGCAAAAGCACTTCATGTATTTTAACTTGAGTTAACGGGTGTAGTTCCATTCAGTCATGGGAGGAAAGCAGCCAACATTAACTTGTCAAGATCGTATTTGAACTCCATAAGCTTCAATGACAATTGCAACGGATTACTTGTACCTAGAAAGTTTGTGCTATAGATTTTTTTTTAAACCGGTTTTCAGCATAGGCTTGTAATAACTAGTGTTTACGCTGGAAGAAATATGTCCAGTCGTGTAATGGATTACTTTTTTCTTTGACAGTTTTTTTTTTGCCCCTTACGCTGCAGCGCAATGGGGTTTGAGTTTTCTTTTCATTGTGTTCCCTTTTTTCCTTTGCGCGTTTTTGTACAGTACGTGAATTGTGGGGGGAGGGGTTGAGTTTCTGTAGTCTGGAGTCCAAAACTGCGTTCGGAAGCTGCTGAAGATGTAAGAGATTTTAACCGAGAATTGATAAGACGTGTAATTTACATCTAATTACTTTCGTTTTTTACAAAAAAAGTGCGTCAGAAATTTAATAAAATTAGTCTTTTTCCGTTTTGTTGCTGCAGTAACTCCAAAAGCAAGTATTTGGCAGGCGTACAAAACTCAATAGCAGCATTAAACTAGTGCAAGTTGAATACTTACTAGCCATTACTGCCGTACAGTACTTTTTATGATCACTTTTTTCATGAATGCAAATTAAGTTCCTGAAATGTGATCTGTGGCAGTGTTTCACAGAGCATCCATATGATCCTTACATTGTAAATTAAAATATGTTATTGTGGCACACTTTTCCCCACAAGCATTGGGTTTTAAACATACACTTCAGTTTATTAAATTAAATGTAGTGCACTTCATTGTTCAAATGTGTTGCCCATGATTATAAATATTGATTTTTTTTTTCATCAAGAATGGTGCATGAATAATTTAAAGATAAATATAAATATTTGTCTGGAACTGTTTTGATCTATTAAAACAAGTCTGGGCACAAAATGTTTCTGATGGTCTTAATTTTTGTGGAACGTTGTTTTGTAATTGGACAATTTTGAGGTAATTTTTGAACAGTTATGCATAACAGATTTTTATATATTAATGATAACACCAAGTGGTATCTAACTCTTTTTAAAAAAACATCAAATGTATGAAATGAAGTGACTTCTTATAAAGATTTGTGGTACAAAACTCTTGTTATATGAAATACTAAACTTTATGCCTCGGTAGGATAGTGTTTAATTTGTTTTGTCTCTGTTTATATGTTGTCTCAGAATCACCAGTTGAACCAATAGATAATCGAAGCTTGGAAGAAATTTTAGCTGGCATATCTCCTCCTCCACCCCCAGCAATGACCAATGAACCCGGAGCTCCTCGACTCATGATAACTCACATAGTGAACCAGAATTTCAAGTCATATGCAGGAGAACAAATCCTGGGTCCTTTCCACAAGGTAACAGTTCACAAAAATTATACTGTTATCTAAATTCACTTTAAAAATTGTGCTGTACTTAAATTCAAAGCCAAAGTATTTTTAAAAAATCAAATATCGAAACATTTTGGGTGGAGATGTGAAACTGAGAAAATGCCTGGTCATTTCCCTTAATTATAAAATTGACATGAATTTGAGATTTAATGTGTGTGTTTAATGTCTGCATTTATGTTGTCTTAAAAGAAACCTCATTTTATTGCTGCAAAAATGCAGTGGCTGAAGTAATAAAAAAAACTACTAAAAAATGTTTAGAGTTGGTGTAAATGGACAGCTGGGAGTATTGCACGTCATACTTTATGCTGACTACAACTTCAGTATACAGTGCATAACATTAATAATGGCCAGAAAAAATATTTTTAAAATATCTATGCTGTTCTGTATTTTCTTTTCTTTTGTACAGAGGTTTTCTTGTATTATTGGACCAAATGGGAGTGGGAAATCAAATGTGATTGACTCAATGCTATTTGTTTTTGGCTACCGGGCCCAAAAAATTCGTTCCAAAAAGTTGTCTGTACTCATTCACAATTCTGATGAGCATAAAGATATTCAGAGCTGTACTGTGGAAGTTCATTTTCAAAAAATCATTGATAAGGTAATTATACTGTATATGTGAGATCATTTACTTTAAAGGTACATTTCACATTACAATTTAAGCACGTCTGGTGTTTTGACCAGCAATACAATTTTAAAATGATTTATAATTAGAGCTTTTAATTTTTTTTCTTTTTACTTCCTGCTACTTTTGTTTGTATTGAATGTGAGGAAGTACAAATTGTAAATAAGTAATTGTGTTGGCTTTTTAGCATGTAAGGAACGTATTGAATGAGAAGCCCCAATTGGTTTTGCTTTTTCTGTTTTGTATCGGCTTAATGGGTAAAATATGTTGATGTGACCTTAGAAAGTTTTATTAGCGTTCATTTAAATACAGTAAATGCCTACAATATACTTTTCTAAAGGTACTGAGATGTGATGAAAAATAAACGAGTCAATGTTCCACTTTTTTGCATCAAATAAACTCAATACAAGACATGCTGGAACAATGCAAAATTCTTGCCAAAAATAGATTTTTAAAGGAAGATTTTATGTAACAATCTAATTTTCTGCCTGCACAGTTTGATTTTTGTGTGACAGCATGTGGATATTTAAATATCCCTTGTCTGCCAAGTGCAATGAGAATGGTAATATAGGCTTTTTTTTAAAAATCCCTATTAATTAAGAAATTACATTTTGGGAGAGGCTCGGGGAAGCTTGATATTTATATATCAACATATACACTTACACATTAAAGGTGGGTGCACTGATTTTGAACACTGAAGAGAAGGGCGTGCTGATTATTGAATTTAAACTATGATCAATTTTCCTATGGTAAACTGAAACTTAAACATTCTAAAATAAATTTAAGTAATTTTTCAGCTAACAAGTTTTAATCTCTTTTTCACCTTCTGTGTACCTCAAATTTTAATTTTAATTGATCTAATCTGTGTAACATTGTTTCTTTAAATAGACTTAAACAACTTGTAACAATTATCATTTATAGAAATAATTTTGTTTGAGGTGAACCATCTGAAAACAATTGTTTAAGTGATGATGTAAAATAAGCAATTTGCTCTAGCTTTTTGTTATTAAACAACTTTTCAAAAATCCTTTTAATGAAAGGAGGGTGATGATTTTGAAGTTATTCCAAATAGCAACTTCTGCGTTTCAAGAACTGCATACAAGGACAATTCATCGACTTACCATATTAATGGCAAGAAATCAACATTTAAAGATGTGGGAACGTTGCTTCGTAGCCATGGAATTGATCTGGATCACAACAGATTTTTGATTCTTCAGGTAAGTCTCATAACATGACAATGAATATATTTAACTTCACTGGAAATATTCTTTTGAGGAAAAAAAACTCCATGTTTGTAGAAGAACTAAATCGGAGAGTCTTCTGCTACCTTAGGTCGTTGTAGCAGCACATCATGGTTTGCAGGGCTGCTTTCACAACTCAAGCCATTATTTGCTGCTGTAGTGATTTAAGGCTAATACGAAGGAAAACTGTATCCTACCCAATTCATTGTTTTCTTTATTGTCATTTCTCTCTTAATCAAGAGCCCTATGAGCAGACACATTTTTTGAAGATGCCGGTTACATTTTAGCAGCACGTAAATATTGGCGTGGTGATAATTGCCAATATTACTTGTGCTGCTGCAGTGTGACATGGTCTAATCACCTATCAGATCAATGCATTGGAAAAATTGATTTTTTTATTGGTGCATGTTGCAGAAGAAAATGACAACTTAAATCACTCAAAGGACTGTCTTAAGTAGTAAGTGTATTTAGAATCTAATTTTATTTTTAAATAAGTAAATGTTTAGTACTTGCAAACTACTTGCTGAAATATATAAAAAGCAAAAGCCAATTTCTTTGTAATTACACATTGACATACAACCCAAGACTAGGATGAGCCTATCATTATATTAATGTTAAAAGTATTAAAAAATACACCAATGCCACCAGTTCTCATCTACAAGAACCACTAAATTGTTTCTGGGTCACATACAATATGAAAATGTCTTTCTGATTTGTGATTTGATTTAGATGGCAATCACAAAATATGTATATAGATTGGTAATTGAGAAAGTAGCCTCTCTTTTTGTCTTTAAAAAATTCACATTAAGTTATGTAGTATTGTGAACAATTTTTCACACTTGTGGATTTTGAGACCCCGAGTTTGAATTTTCATGGGACTATGGTGTTCTCCAGTTTTAATTCTCATTCAGTTTTCTTGCTCTTGCATTTTAGAATGTTTTCCTATTGGACGAAAAGTATACTCGTTGGAAGCAATGATCTCTCTAAATTTTCTTTATGTTGTCAGATTAGTTTAATGTACAGTGCATTTTTTTAAAAAAAAACTTTGCACCCACTACTTGTGTGCAGTATTTTTCAGGCCAGCTTTTGAGTGGCCACAAAGTATCCACAAGATTGCTGCAAAACCATATGTGCTTGCAGGTTTGAGGTAATGTTGATTATCTCACTGTCTTTTTTTTTTAAACATGCTAGTATCCAAATAATTATACACAATGATTTGACTTTGTGCCAAAAAATTGTTCTTATTGGTATTAGAAATTAAGCATGGAAAGAAGGAATTGTGCTATATTAGTTAGCAAAACAACAATTATTGTGGTAGTCTCGTCCTGCTAGTGTACCTCTCTTTATTTTTTCCGATCCCCACCGCCCGTACTTTTGTAGTAAATCATTTTTCTTTGAGGAAATTTTGTGATTTCTTAGTTTTATTTGGAAATGACAGAATGGGGTAATTTAGACTAACGCCAGATGAGGATCCCAGAAGCTTGAATTTTGTACCCTGCCCAGTATGGTATTCTACTGGCTTTAATACCAAGTAAAATCAATGGATTCTCTAAAACCAGATAAATGCCCACTGTCAACAGTTTATTTTAAAATGATTTCTGAGCGCCAATATCTATGTATTTGTGATTTTGGTTTTTTACATTTAGTCATGGCTTCATCTCTACATAATGAGTTATATGAATAATTTACATTGTCCTTTTTGTTAATATTTAATTCTACTCGTACTTCCAATGAGATGGTTCACTTAGTTGTACAGCAGATGGAAAAAGTAAGTGCAGATGTGATTTATGCCAAAAGTCATTAAATAGGATTACTTGCAGGGATCACTAAATACTTGTCAAAGGCTTCAGGGATCACGTTTTTTTTTCTTGAAGGCTATTTTTTTCCAGTCAATCAAAACTTAAGTGATATGGATTCTTGGAGCAAACTAAACCAGCCTCTTGAGGGTTATGAACCTATCAAATTGCTTTTTAAGAGTGGAATGCTGTCCTTGACTAATGATTAGGTTTCTTTTGGGGAAAGGAGATTTAGCAGATAGGGAAGAGGTGGCAGATCTTATCTACTTTTCCTTCACTAAGGAATCAACACTATTTTGCATCAGAGTATATTACACAATTCGTATTTCTAATAAAATTTCTTGTCAACAACTTGGTTTATAGACTGGACTTAATAGCTGTGTATGAGTTGTTAACCTGGTTGGCAACCAATGCCACAAAGCTCAATTATGGGATTATTTTTTTAAAAATTATTTTAGCCAAATCTGGGCTAGTGGCATATGAATGTAGTGGGGAGAAAAATAGTAAATATAATTTAATAATGAAGCACAAGGTTTGGACACTTGGCAGAGGAGCAATTTTAGATTGTGAAAACTTGACACTTTCTGTATATGATCATGACATCAAAACCATGTTCAGTACTGTTAATAATAATGAGCTTTGATGCATGGCGTTTAGTAAAACAAATCTAGAGAGCATCTTTTAATTATATTTGACCTTGGTGTGACTACTTTTGAGTATTATGCAGTTTTGGTATGCTCATCTCAAAAGATGCATTCTATTATTGAATGGTGCAGAACAGGACAGATGCTGATCCCCGAATTTGAGGGAATGACTTGAAAGATTGATTACCTTGTGTTTTTCCTGTTAAAAGGAGGACTTGAGTAGACCGTAGAAGTGTTCAAAATTTTGTATCATAGAACAAATCATATCCGAGTAACTTTCCTGTTGTATTTAGAGCACATACAAGAAGTGGAATATTTGCAAATAAAAGTAGCAAACGCAGAATTGTAGTTTTATCGGAAACTTTTAACGGGTGTCAGGTTTGAAGTCGAAGTAGATTTAGCAACTAGGATTATTGGAAATGCACCAAGGGAATAATGTGGATATATGAGACAGGCAGGATAAAGGTAGTCTCCTAACTGAAACTACTTCTATTTGATGGTTAATTCGTTTGCTACTATGTAGTAGTATTGTTAATTGGATGAGGGGTTATGCTGATGTAGTGTATAAATTTTGAAGCCAAAGGTTCTTCTCAGAGCTGCTCCTTCTCTGAACAGTTGAATCTGCCAAAAAAGTGATCCCATCCTGTTGCTGGGCTCATTCTTGGAAATCATTTCAAATGAGTAAAGCAGAAAAATATGGTAGATGCGGAATTTCATTCGGGTTTAACATGTTAAATGAACATGAAGGTTTCTGGCAGACATTTCACTTGACCTCTCTACATGTGCAACCTTTGCGATTCACAACCTTTCAGCTTCAAAACATTTAGTATACTTCCAGATGTATTTAATTGAATGTACAGGACTTGGAATTGAGTACTCGGAAGATCCTAGAATTCCAATTGGAGAACAGTGATAGAACTGATGTGGAAATGGGAGGACAAAACTTGTCTTATCTATACAAACTTGTTTTATGACTGTTTCTAGAAATTTGGATAGGCTAATCCTTTGCTATGCCAATCTGAATGACGTGGCATATGGTCATGTTGCTAATGTTACTAGGGACTTGAAATAACTGGTTCTGAAGAATCTAACCACCATGGGTACTCATCTAGATTGTGGATTGTAGTTTGCAGCTTTATGTTAAGAGTGTAACTGAAGTGATTTATAAATTATGGCACTTCTCTAGATGTTCACAATTTTGTTTTTCACTTAGTGGGCTCTGTTTGTTCCCTCATTTTTTTCATCCTTTTCTAGTTTTTAAGTGTACACATCTGAGCAAGAAATGCCACTGTGCTGCCTCAGATCTATTACACTGACAAGGCAGATTGAAGTAACTGGTTCATGAGAATTCTACTTAGAGAAGCAAGATTAACAGTATTTATCAGGCTTAATAATTCACAATCGCAGTGGGCAAGGATTGTTTGCAGTTTTACAATATTGCAATTTGTTTCAAGAGGAGTAGTAACTGGTTGTACCACATGGGTTTTCCATGTTCAACTGAAGCTGTATGTTTGGATTAGCTCCATTATATGAAATGCTTCTAATTTTCAAATGTTCACCTTTGAATGCTGTTATGTAATTGCAGAGGTGTTGTAGTACAGAAAAAGGCCATTTGGCCCAACTACTTGTACTCTACTTCAGCCTCCTCCTATTAACTATAAATAACAATACTATTGACACGTTTCTATTCTTTTTTACCTTTTGTACTTGCCTAGCTTTCGGTCAATTGCAGGTGTACCTTATGCCTTAGACACCCATGGTAGTATGTTCCACGACCTGACCAGACTCGCGGTGAAGAGGTTTCTCTTGATTTCTCTATTGGATTTATAAGTGACTGTATTCTATCGATTGGTCTTAGTTTTGGATTCCGATAATGTTTGTGGCTTCAAGTCCACACAATTGCACCACATTGCAAGCCTGACTGACAATCCTAAATTGGTTGTCAGTGTAAATCTTAGCCTCAGAATTATTATTTAGCAATTGTCTAGTTGCAAAATCACTGTATTGCATACATGGGCAGTACCTTTTTGCTGACAACTGAAGGGCACACTGTTTAATACGCCCTAAAAACTACTGGATCGTGTAACCTACGTACCTAGCATCGTGCCGACGTGGAAATTTACACAACACATTACTCGTATGATGAGCAATACGTTATTTTGGCTTCACTGCAGCATCCTGTTAGTGGCAAGCACCACTTCTATTGCTTTTGCGTAGTTGCTCAAACATTTGAGATATCTTGCTCCTGTATGGTAGTCTGGAGTAAACTGGGCACTTTTCAGGACCAAAAGTGATTAGTCTTTGGCCCATTTGAGTTTGTGACTAATGCAGTAAAAGTTGAACAAAAACAAAGTTGCTGGAGAAGCTCAGTAGGTCTGGCGGCATCTGTGAAGGAAAAAACAGAGTTAATGTTTCTGGTCCGGTGACCCTTCCTCAGAACAGTAAAAGTTGATCTACTTTGTCATTATCTTTTGGTTTTGATGCACCCTGTTTCAGCCTGATGTTCGCATGGTGAGCAAGTAGCTTCAGCC